TTCAGGCCCCATCCCCAGTGAGGGGCCTGATCCTTTTTCATCCTTGGTCTCTCTCTCTCTCTCTCTCCCTTTCTCTCTCTGAAATCAATAAAAACATATTTTTTAAATAAATCAATAGGGCCCTAACTGGGTTGGCTCAGTGGGTAGAGCGTCGGCCTGCGGACTGAAGGGCCCCACGTTTGATTCCAGTCAAGGGCATGTGCTGTGGCTGATCGATATTTCTCTCTCATCAATGTTTCTGGCTCTCTGGCTCTCTCCCTTCCTCTCTGTAAAAAATCAATAAAATATATGGGTTTTTTTTAAAATAAGTAAATAGAAAAAATAACCTTGGGTGAGGATTAGCCAAAGAGAAATACAACGTGTGTGCAGGGTGTGTGTGTGTGGGGGTAATGGGTGGATTGGAGGTGACCCCTCGAGTGTGTCCAGGGCAGAAGCAATGGCACCAGGTCTGGGTGCAGGGACCGGGAGCCGCGGGGGAGGGGGGAGCCGCAGGGGGGTGCGGGCCTGGGTGAGGGACCAGGAGCTGCAGGGGGTGCAGGCCTGGGTGCAGGGACCAGGAGCTGCAGGGGGGGTGCGGGCCTGGGTGAGGGACCAGGAGCTGCAGGGGGGTGCATGCCTGGGTGCAGGGGGGGTGCGGGCCTGGGTGCAGGGACCGGGAGCTGCAGGGGGGTGCGGGCCTGGGTGCAGGGACCGGGAGCTGCAGGGGGTGCAGGCCTGGGTGCAGGGGGGCGTGTGGGCCTGGGCGGCTTCGGGGAGAAGAGCCTGGTTCTGGGCCATGTCTGGGGTGGGCGGCTCCGGGCTCCGCTCTCCGGGTTCCCTTCACGGGAACGGAGACCGGCCGCCGCGGCAGCTGCGTCCGGAAGTGCAATCAGGAGAAGCTGGCGTCAGCACGGGGAGCGGGGGGAGCGGAGGGAGCGCGGGAGGAGCGGCTGATGACTCCCGGCCCACAGCCAGGTGCTTATTTCCATCCCACGTACACGCACACACACACACACACGTGCACACGCGCACACACCTGCACACACCTGCACACACTCACGCACACACCTGCACACACGCGCGCGCACGAACACACATACACACACGCGCACACGCACACACGCATGTACGCACACATACGTACACACACATGCACACATGCACGGATGGGCACACACACTACTTTTTATCTGTTGCGAAGCCATCGCCACCGCCTCTCTCAGCGCCGCCCCCGCCCGCAGCCGCTGTGTTTGTTCTCGAGAAGCGATTGGCCAGTTTCCTGCCGGCAGCCGGGCCGCCTGGTCTTGCCCCAAATCCAATTTCTCCAAAGAAACGAAAGATCCAAATGTGTGTGTGTGTGTGCGTGTGTGTGTGCGTGTGCGTGTGCGCGCGCGCGCGTGTGTGAGTGTGTGTGTGTGTGTGTTCGCTCTCATTTCAAAGAGTTGCCACCCCCCTCTATCCCCCTTCTTCCCTCTCCCTCTCTCCTCCCCCCTCCCTGTGCCACAGGCCGGGCTCGGGGCCGAGGTCCAGCGTGAGGCCTCGCTAACGGGCGGACAGCCCCCTCCACGGCCAAGGTCAGGTCTGGGACCGAGGCACTCGGTGAGATGGACAGAACGCGTTAATGAGTGCATGAGTGAGTGAATGAGTGAATGAATGAAGGAGTGATTGGATGAGTGAATGAGTGAGTGACTGAATGAGTGATTGAATTATTGGATGAGTGAATGAATGAATGAGTGAGTGAATGATTGAATGAATAAATGAGTGAATGAGTGATTGAATGAATGAGTGATTGAAGGATTGAATGAATGAATGAGTGATTGAAGGATTGAATGAATGATTGAATGAATGAATGAGTGATTGAAGGATTGAATGAATGAATGAGTGATTGAAGGATTGAATGAATGAATGAGTGATTGAATGAGTGATTGAAGGATTGAATGAATGAGTGAGTGAGTGATTGAATAAAGGAACCATCCTGGCCAACATCCCGACATCCGGTGTCCCGGTGGCCGTGACCATGACCTTGGCCGAAAGGTCACGTCCCCGGAGCCCATCCGGTCCCCGGCGACAGGGGCCGTGTCTCCGGCTCCCTATCTCGGGATCTCAGACTCAATTTCCGGCTCCCGGCGGAGGCCGGCTGACGGGGACACAATATCCCGCCGGACGCGGCAGATAAGGAAAACGGATGCGGGAGGGAGGCGGCCGGCCGGGCTGTCAGTGACGGGGATGGACGGGCCGGCTGTCAGCGAGGGCCGTCCCCTCTCCAGCGGCTGCGGGAAACCGGATTGACTTTTCCAGATCGATAAACGTTACTCACCGCCTGTCTCCGGGGAGACGGGAGGAGCAGGTGAGTGGGGATGAGGGGGGGGGGTTGGGGGGGCGTTTGTCAGGGCTGAGCGGCCGCCGGAGCCACGGATTCCTCCCCGTGGCCGTGGCCGGAGCCAGCGTGTCGGGGAGGAGATACGCCCGCAGCTGCTGACGGCCTCCGCCCGGCCCTGGGCTCCCCTATCGGGGCTCCCCCATCGGGGCTCCCAGAACCTGAGCTGAACTCACCGGGAGCCGCTCCACGCGGGCTGGAGGCTGGGGGTGCGGGCGGGGGTGTGGCTGGAGGTGTGGCCGGGGGTGCGGGCGGGGTGCGGTCGGGGGTGTGGTCGGGGGTGTGGCCGGGGGTGTGGCCGGGGTGCGGTCGGGGTGCGGTCGGGGGTGTGGTCGGGGGGTGTGGCCGGGGGTGTGGCCGGGGGTGCGGGCGGGGTGCGGCGGGGGTGTGGCCGGGGTGCGGATGGGGGTGCGGCCGGGGTGCGGCGGGGGTGTGGTCGGGGTGCGGCCGGGGGTGTGGCCGGGGGTGTGGCCGGGGTGCGGATGGGTGCGGATGGGGGTGCGGGCGGGGTGCGGCGGGGGTGTGGCCGGAGGTGTGGTCGGGGTGCGGCCGGGGGTGCGGCCGGGGGTGTGGCCGGGGTGCGGATGGGGGTGCGGGCGGGGGTGCAGCGGGGGTGTGGCCAGGGGTGCGGCCGGGCCTCCTGCAGCTCCTGGGGGCGCCGTCGGTGTGGACAGCCCCGGGGTCGGGGTCGGAGGCACGTGGACGAGGCGGCAGTGACCCGGGCCTCGCCGAGGAGGAAGCTGGGCCCAGGGCGCTGGGCCGGGTGACGGATTGTGGGAGGAGGGGCGGGGCCCGGAGACGGGGCTCGGGGCCACATGCTGGCGGGTCCGCCATCTCCCGCGGCGGATCCTGAGGCCGGCCTGGCCGCGAGGAGGGCCGAGCCTCCGGGAAGGGAGGGTGTGAGGTCCGGCAGAGGCAGGAGGAGGCGGGGCCGTTCTGTCATCGCCGGGCGGAGCTCCCAGCGTGTCCTGTACGTCCAGCCGTCTGCCTGCCAGCCTTTCCGTCTGCACGTGGACCCGTCTGTCCACCCAGTCATCCGTCCGGCCATCCATCGTTTCACTTACTCATCCCCTCACCATCCATCCATCCCATCATGCATCTGTGCATCCGTCCGGCCATCCATCGTCCATCGTCTATTCATTCCTCCATTAATCACCTATTCAACCATCCGTCCCTCCAGCCATCGATCATCTTGTGTGAGCATCCATTCATCACCCATCTGTTCATCCACTTATCCATCCATCTGTCCATCCATCATCCATCCGCCCATGTATCTACCATCTTTCTCTCATCCATTTATTCATCTATTCGTTATCTACCTATCTATCATCTATCTACCCATCATCCATCTGCCCAGGTCTCTATCCATCCTTCTCTCATCCATTTATTCATCTATTCGTTATCTATCATCTATCTATCTATCTATCCATCATCCATCCACCCATGTATCTACCATCCTTCTCTCATCCATTTATTCATCTATTCATTATCTATCTATCTATCTACCCCTATCATCTACCTACCTGCCCATCTATCCATCTATCCATCCATCCACCCATCCATGGAAACTCAAGCTCCAAGGAGATAAATTCTTGCCAAACATCATGTGGCTATTGATTAGACCAGCCCTAGACCCCCCTGTGGCCACACTTCCCGTCCAAACCCGGCGGTGGCTGCCTCCTGGATAGTGTCCGTCCGTTTTAGCTCCAGCCGGCACGTCAGCGGCCGCTGGCTCCGTTTCCCGTCAGGCACAGGCTGGGCCGCGGGCTCACTCCCCAGTCCCGGGCGAGCAGGAGGAAGTCCGTGGATGTGTGGCTCTCACGTCGATGTGTCTCTGCCTCCCCCCCTCTAAAGCGCAGTGAAATAAAAGACTTTGGTAAAGAAAAACAACAACAACAACAAACACGCATCACCTCCCGCGGTGCTGAGTGTGTTCACCGCACACCCGTCCGTCACCCCCGCGTGCGCGGTCTCAGGTCGGCCGCGTGGCGTTCCCGCCGAGCAGTGACCCTCCCGTGGAGCCTCGGCTTCCCCTGTTTCCGTCTGAGCATGCGGGGTCCCGGAGGGGCTGGTGCCGGAGGGATCCTGAAAACACTGCCCACGTGGACCCCAGCGTGTTCCCCCTCGTTCCTAAATCACGCACGGAACCCCACTGTGCGGCTCAGGGGCTGAGCGGCGACCTACGACCCAGGAGGTCAGGGGTCAGGCCCGGGTGGCGGCGCGATTCCCAGTGGGGGGCGTGCAGGAGGCAGCCGGTCCATGACCCTCTCCCATCACGGATGTTACTCTCTCTCTCCCTCCCTCTCCCTTCCTCTCTGAAATCAATAAAGACATAGATCATCACAGCTGAAGCCGGCGTGGCTCAGCGGATAGAGCGTCGGCCTGCGGACTGAAAGGTCCCGGGTTCGATTCCGGACAAGGGCATGGACCTTGGCTGCGGGCACATCCCCAGTAGGGGGCGTGCGGGAGGCAGCTGGTCCATGGTTCTCTCTCATCGATGTTTCTGGCTCTCTCTCCCTCTCCCTTCCCCTCTTGAAAAAATCAATAAGACGTATTAAAAATGATTTTTATGAAATGAGGACTCCTCGGCGCGGTGACCGTCCTGTTTCTCTCTCTCCTCTCTCTCCCTCTCTGCCGCCCGCAGGGACCGAGGGCCGCGGGGCCCCGGTCGCCGGCCCCGGGTTCTCCTCGCCGCCGCCCTACCTGCCCGTGAGCCTCCGCGTGCTCGGGGCGGACGCCGCCTTCCTGCTGAGGGGGGCGCCCCCGGACCCCGCGCCCAACGCCAGCATGCAGGCCCGCCTGGAGTCCTTCTTCGCCTACCGCGCCCGGCGGCCCCCGCTCCTGCGCGCCAGCCTCGGGCCCTTCTCCGCGGAGAGGGCGCTGCCCCTGGGCCCGGCCTCGGCCTCGACCTTGACCCCTGGAGGCCCCAGCGACACGGCCCCGCTGGGCTGGCGGCTGCGCGCCCACGTCCTGCAGGACAAGGTCTACCCGGGCCGGCCGGTGGCGCAGGTCCTGTTCCAGGTGCTGGGCCGGGACTGGGCGGAGCCGGAGCCCTCGGACCCGGAGCCGCTGCCCTGCCTGCGGGCCTTCGCCTTCCGGGAGGCGCTTGAGGTGCGGGCCGGCTGCCGGCCGCGGGGCGCGCTGGCGCTGTGCGTGGCGGAGCTGCGGCTGCCGCCCGGCTGGTTCGGGGCCCCGGCCGCGGGGCCCGGGCGGCGGCGGGCGGCGGGCCCGGAGGGGGGCAGCCCGGTGGAGCTGTACTACGCGGTGCACGCGGCGGACGGCGGGCCCGGGGGCTGCGCCGGCGGCGGCGGCGGCGGCGGCGGCCTTAAGACAGGCAACTCCATCCGCGCCGGGAGGGACGGCCGGGGGCACGGCCCGGAGGACCCGGCGCCCGCCCTGCGCAGGGCCGGCACCGTCCGCCTCTTCCGCGCCCCGGACCGCGGCGACCGGCTCCGCGAGCTGCGCCTGGACGGCCACGTGGCCGTGTGGCTGCCCGTCCGGCCGGCCAAGCCCGGGGGCGTGGTCACCGCCTCCGTCACCGTGGCCGGCAACTCCACCGTGGACCGCTTCTCCCTGAGGTAGGTGTGCGGGCGGCGGGCGGGCGGATGGACAGCCCGCGGGGTGAGCTGACACGCGTACCCGGTTAAGATCCGTCCGAAAGATAGAGACGACCCAGATGGGGGCTGTGCCCCTGGCCTGAGGGCCGAGGTCGGCAGACTCATCCGTCCACAGAGCCAGATACCAGCAGCACAGCCATGGGCATTTCTTTGGAGAGCCCCGTTTTTAAAACGTAAACTGTACAGGCGGGTGCGATTGCTGTTGACGTCATTAGGGTCCTCCTAAGCAGGCCTTTGCTGAACACTCCAGGGGCCTTGAGCCGCGGCCGGACTCGGAGAGGGAGGCGGCGTGGCGTGTCTCCAGCTGTGAGCTCGTGGTGCTGGGCCGACGCCGGTGCGGGCCCAGCGCCCGTGGGGCGGGGGGGGGGGGGGGGGGGGCGCCCGCTCGCTCCGGGGCCCGCCTGAGAAAAGCCGGGGTTCGCCCTTCTCGGGGTCCCGGCATGGGTCCCGTACTGCCAGGCGGGCGGGCGCCCTCGGCTGGTGAGTGCAGATCGCAGTGACGGAGGCACCGGCCCCGCAGGAAGGCAGTCACAGCGGTCTCGGCCGGCGTGGCCCCGTGGTGACCTATGAACCCGGAGGTCCGGGTTCGATTCCAGTCAGGGCACAGGCCCAGGTGGTGGGCTCCATCCCCAGTGCAAGGCGTGCAGGAGGCAGCCGGTCCGTGATTCTCTCCCATCACGGATGTTCCTCTCTCTCCCTCTCCCTTCCTCCCTGACATCAATGAAAAAAATCTATTTAAGAAATCAGACTGAGTCCGTTCCCAGAAAAAAAAATAACACAGCAAACGGGTCAGTGGGTCCCCAGGCCCCTGGGCCATGGCCACGGCCTTGGCCACGGCTGCGAGGGGACAGAAATCACCGAGACGCGGGAAATGCTGGTGCCGCTGCTGCCGGCTTCAGGCCCCGGTTACTTCCCTTTTCTATCGGCTTCCCTTTCCTTCCCTTCCACACGTACGTGTCCAACACAGAACACGTATGTGTCCAACCCACAGCATTTCATCCCCCGGACTCTGCGCTGCCTGGCGGAGCCCCTCCCTCCCCCGAGCTCGGTCCCTCTCGCTCCCCTCGCCCGCCGCCGGGGGCATGAATATGCAGGACTCTGCGGAACAAGATTTTTATTGAAAACAAACGCGGATGCGAAGGCTCCGTCTGCGGCTCCCGGGGCCGCGTGAAAGGGCCATTGAGCTCCGTCAAGGGCATGTAGGGCAGTGGCAGGCTCCTTCCCAGCCGGGCCCTGGCCGGGGTGCATGTAGGAGGCAACCCCTCGATGAGTTTCTCTCTGTCTTTCCCTCTAAAACTCAATGGGGAACTGTCCTCAGGCGAGGGTTTTTTTAAAAAGAAAAAAAACCATAAATTCACAGTTTTGGGAGAGAGAAGGACAAAGGTACAGGGAGCCAGAGAGAGAGAGAGAGAGAGAGAGAGGAGAGAGGGGGGTGAGAGAGAGAGAGAGTAGAGAGAGGGGGGAAGAGAGGGGGGAGAGAGAGAGAGAGAGATGGGGGGGAGAGAGAGAGAGAGAGGAGAGGGAGAGAGAGAGAGGGAGGGAGAGAGAGAGAGGAGAGGGAGAGAGAGAGAGAGGAGAGGGAGGGAGGGAGAGGGAGAGAGAGGGGGGGGAAGAGAGAGACAGAGAGAGAGAGAGGGAGAGAGAGGAGAGGGAGGGAGAGGGGGGGAAGGGAGAGAGAGAGAGAGGGAGAGAGAGGAGAGGGAGGGAGAGGGGGGGAAGGGAGAGGGAGAGAGAGAGAGGAGAGGGAGGGAGAGGTTGCCCAGGTCCTGGTGGCCCCTGGGCCCCAGCGAATTTTAAATGTTTGCGTCCTCACTCCTCCCGGCAGCCGGGCTGTGCGGAGCCTCTGATGCTCACAACCCAGTAATTCCCGCCCAGGCAGGGAGCCGCCGGCCCGGGCCTCCCTCCCTCCATCACTGCCGGGCACCGGGCCGGCGGCCGCTCTGCAGAGGGAGGTGATAATGGGATTTTAGGATCCGGGAGGAGGGAGAGGAGGATGACACCCGCTCCCGCCCGGAGTGCCGCCTCTCTGCGCGTCCAGCCCGGCCGCTCGGCGCTCAGAGGATCACCCGGGACAGGGTCTCCCGCCCCCGGGGTCTCCCGCCCCCAGCTCCATTCCCCTCTGTCCTTCCCACCCCCAGCGGGGGGAGGACAGCTTTGCGATGGTTTTCAGGGAGTGGAAGGGAGGGGAGGGGAGAGAGAGGTCAGTTGGTTGCCTCCCTCGCTCTCCCCGAAGTGGTTACCGAGGTGCATGCCCTTGACCCCACATTGAACCCCAGACCCCATTGGCAGGCCACCGTTCTAACCCCTGAGCCACACCGGCCAGGGCCAGATTGTCTTTTAAAGAAGGCTCCAGGGCCCCGGCCGGTCTGGCTCAGTGGACAGAGCGTCAGCCTGTGGACCAAAGGGTCCCGGGTTCGATTCCGGTCAAGGGCACGCACCTCAGTTGCAGGCTCCCTTCCCGCCCCCCTTTCCCTGAGGGACACAGAGGGGCTGTCTGTCGGGCAGAGGGCACGGGTCCCCGGGGGACAGGACCGGACCTCAGACGCAGGACTGAGCCACGGCTGAGACACAGGGGAAATTAAAAATATACATCATCCTGTGTTAATTATGCAACAATACGGCAGCAACACCTTTTATTTAAATGTTTATTTTAGCACAGCCGGCGTGGGTCCGTGGTTGAGCGTTGACCTAGGAACCAGGCGGTCAGGGTTCCATACCAGTCAGGGCACAGGCCCGGGTTGCGGGCTTCATCCCCAGCAGGGGGCATGCAGGAGGCAGCCGGTCCGTGATCCTCTCTCATCATGGATGTTTCTCTCTCTCTCCCTCCCTCTCCCTTCCTCTCTGAAATCAATACAAATACATATTTTTTAAAATAAAGAAATAGCCGAAACCAGTGTGGCTCAGTGGATAGAGCGTTGGTCTGCCGACTGAAGGGTCCCAGGTTCGATTCCGGTCAAGGGCATGGACCTTGGCTGGGGGCACATCCCCGGTCGGGGGTGTGCAGGAGGCAGCTGATGGATGTTTCTCTCTCATCGATGTTTCTAACTCTCCCTTCCTCTCCCTTCCTGTCTGTAAAAAATCAATAAAATGTATTTTTTTAAAGCAAAGAAGCGGGAGGAGATGGTGGCGCCTGGCGGGCTCTCACCCGGCTCTCTCTCTCTCTCTCTCTCTCTCTCTCTCTCTCTCTCTCTCTCTCTGCCCCCAGAGCCAGGGTGAAGAAGGGGGTGACGGTGCTGGGCGCGCGGCCCAGCGAGCCCGGCCAGTGGGCGGTGCGGCAGGAGCGGGCGGCCGGTGGTGAGCTCGGCACCGGCACCGGCACCGGCACCGGCACCGGCACCGGCACCGGCACCAGCACCAGCACCGTGGTCTGCCAGCGCGTGGCGCCCGGCAACAGGTAAGTGAGCACAAGGTAAGCGCCGCCCGCCACCGGAGGGCGCGACTGACCTCGGGTCCACGGGCTGCCTGCCCCCCCCCCCCCCCCCCCCCCCGTACGTCAGGGGCCGGACAGCTGCCATGGCGGTCCCCGGGGGCAGGGCGCCGGCTTTGGAGCAGAGATGCGTCAGCGAGGTCCTACTGTGCATCCCAGGCTCAGGAGTTAATGTACATTAACAACGCTGAAACCGGCGTGGCTCAGTGGATAGAGCGTCGGCCTGCGACGGAAAGGTCCTGGGTTCGAGTCCGGTCAGGAGCATGGACCTTGGTTGCGGGCACATCCCCAGTGGGGGGTGTGCAGGAGGCGGCTGATGGATGTTTCTAGCTCTCTACCCCTCTCCCTCCCTCTCTGTAAAAATCAATAAGATGTGTTTTAAATATATATGTTAACCAGATAAGGACAGAGCTGGTATGGGGAGAGCAGAGGGCCCCACGCCGGCCGGCCGGCCGGGCGGGAGGGAAGCCGTGGAGCAGGTTTCCATCCTCCAGCGGCTCCTGTCGGCCCAGCGTCCCGCAGACACGGCCAGGCGGGGCGGGGGGAGCGGACAGGCCGCGGGGCGGCGGGGCGCCCATCGGGGCGATAACATTCACGCCCCGTCTGAGCGTCTCCTCCCCATGGACGCGGGCCGGCCGTTCACCCTCATTGTCTCCGGCGGCGAGCACGCTCACGCCGCCGCCCGAAATAGAGCCGTGACTGCCCGGCGTCTCCTGCCTGCGCCGCCGGGAGAGACAAAAGCAGAGAGGGAGCCGGGCGCAGAGCCGGGCGGTGCGGAGAGACAGCGCTGCCCCAGCCCAGGCCCCCCTTCCTGAGCCGCGTTCCTGTCGGACCCGCCCCTCCTGCTCCATTCCGAGTCCCGTCCGCAGGGACAGGGAGCCGGGCGCAGAGAGCCTGCATCGTTTCTTTCCTTCCATGAAAAGAAACGTGTTTCAGGAGGAAACACTGTGTCCTCCCCGAACATACACGCCCGGGCCGGCCCGGGGGCTCCGTGGCTGAGCATCGACCGAGGACCCAGGGGTGCCTGGCCGGGTCGCGGCTCCATCCCCCGCGGGGGGCGCGCAGGAGGAGCCGATCCAGGATGCTCTCTCGTCGTGGATGCTTCTCTCTCCTCCCCCTCTCTCTCCGGAATCAATTTTAAAAATAAGGAGAAATGAAAAAAGTATAAAACAAAACAAACAGACAAAACCCCCAGCGTCCGCAGCCCCGGGCAGAGGCCGACAGCAGAACGCCGTCCCAGCGCCGGCCGCCGGGGGCGCTCTCCCCCCTCGGAGCGGCCCCTCCCGCGGAGGCCCGCGGAGCCGGGCTGATCCCAGTCTTTGTGGGAGCAGAGGCTGCGTTTGAGATGGAATGTAGGTCACGCCTGGAAGCCAGACAGCTGCCTGCCGCCTGCTCCCGCACGGGCGTCGCTGACAGTCATGGGGGTACTCCCCGCGCCCCTCACGCGTCTGCCCCCCCCCCAAAGGCCTGGCCAGCTGGGGCGGCGTCTGGCCGGTGTTCAAGGCCGCACTGAAAGGTCCTTGTAAACGGGAATCCTCAGCTTCTTCCTCAGCCAGCTCACCCCATCCTCTCCCCTCCGCCCCAGACCCGCTCTCTCCCCGTTGCCCGCCCCCCCATTCTTTCTCTCCCCTCCAGAACATTCTGCCTCCCAGGCCTCCTCCTCCTCTGATGATGGGTTATCAGGTGAAAGTGTGTCCCAAACCCATTCCTTCCTCCTGGAGGGAAATGTTACATTTCTTTTCATTTTTTTTTAAAATAATTGAGACAGCTATTTTTATGTACAATATCATGTCATCTGCAAATAAGGATAACTTCACTTCTTCTCTTCCAATTTGGATGCCTTTTATTTCCTCTTCTTGTCTAATTGCAATGGAGACCGCTATTTTTAAATCCAAACCATGTCCTAAAAGCACTGCTCTGAAATGGGATTTCTTTTTTGGGCATGAACCCTGCGGGGGCAGGAATCGAACCTGCAACCCGGATACAGGCCCTCCAGTGCCCGGGCCAATGCCCTAGCCGCGGAGAACACCGGCCGGGCAATGACAGGAACCTCGAAACGCCCTGAGCCCATGGTCACGCGGGTCCGCGTGAGAGAATGCAGCTCGCAGTCCGTGTTGACACGTTTAAGATATTGCCTGGGAAGTATGAACCCACCCGCCGTGTTCACCAGCCCTCACTCCTTCGATGACCCGTGTTCCCATCGACGGCACACGCCCTGTGTGAGCGGCACTTCCACACGGACGCAGACGTGGACAGTGGGGTCTCTGCATGGTCTGCCCCGAACAAGGACAGTTCTATTGGGACGGTGCCCACCAGTGACCTGGAAGATGGGGGATGTGTGGCTGGCGACGGACATCGCTTTGAAGGAAGCACTTTTGAGGTTCCTTTGATTAGAAAATCTGCATTATGAACAGTCTAGCCATTTAAAATGAGCTCTAGCTGCCTCTACTGAGCTGGGAAGTTCTCTGAGAAATATCGCAAAGAGAAGAAAAACAGAAAAGAGAAAACAGCCAGGCACCAGGCCAGCCGCGCATGTGGCCTGCTCACACTCCAGGTTAAAATGGGAAGAACCGCGGCCGGTGTGGCAGACTGGAGGGGCCCGGGTTCGATTCCCGGTCAAGGGCACAGGCCTGAGTTGCCAACTCTATCCCCAGTGGGGGTTGTGCAGGAGGCAGCCAAGCCATGATTCTCTCTCATTCTCTCTCTCTCTCCCTCTCTCTCTCTCTCTCCCTTCCTCTCGGAAATCAATAAAAAATATATTTTTAAAATGGGAAGAGATGCTGCCCCATCCAATTTCATGGTTGAGCCTTGAGGACATTATGCTCAGTGACATGAGGCAGACACAATAGGACACACTCTGCGCGATTCCACCTCCGCGAGGTGCCCGGAGCCATCAAACCCGCAGAGACAGGACGCGGTGGAGGGGGGCGGGCGAGGGGGGAGGGGGCGGAGTTTAAATGAGACCAGACGGAGCCGGTTCTGGAGGGGGACGGCGGAGCTGTGGCTTTGGTGGCTGGTCACGTGTGCTCGGCCACAATTAAAAGTAAAACACAGGCACGCGTGTGCACATGGACAGCCCTGGGGTGGGAGGGCCCGGATGGGGGGGAGAAACTTCCTTCTCTGCAGCTGTGACTGTTGCTCCTGTGTGCGTGCAGAGTAACAAAGCACCTTTTTAAGCGTCAAGAAATTGCAAGCGAACCGTGACAGTAATCACACCCGCGGGCAGCAGCTGCTGCGGGTGCACCCTGCGTGCTCGCGTGTCCTCCGCAGCGTGGAGGCGCAGGCACGCGTGGCCGGCGGACACGGGGCGGGGTGTGAGCCGCAGGCCTGTGGAGGGGCGTCTGTGGGGCAGGCGCGGGCCGGCGCTCCGAGGTTAACGGTTAACGGAAAACGGCTAACGGCGCTGCGGCTGCGGGGAGAGGGGACCCGCTCCACTCCTCTCCGCAGCAGGCAGAGCTGCCTGCCCCCCCCCCTTTGCGCTGCGTCTTTCCTGGCTGTTCCCTCCCCCTCTCCCATCCCCTCCTCTTCCTTTTAAGAGAAACAATCACGGCTCTGGTGGCAGGAAGATTGCGGCCGATATTAACCAGGCGCCCGAGTGACAGAGGAAGGAGATGGAGAGCCGGGGAAGGCGCGTGACCGCGAACCCGAGAGACAGCGCCGCGCGGATGGCCGCGTGTCCCCTGCACACTGCCCCCCCCCGAGTCCCGCACCCCCTCCCACCGCCTCAAGGGCCTCTCTGGAGCCACGTTCAGGTGGCCGGGCAGCGGCTGTCCCTCCCCGTGGGCGCAGGGACATGAGGTTGGGGAGGGGGTGCAGGGCCAGGGACCGGGAGACCCCGAGTCCAAGTCTCTGCGCCTCGTTTCCCTCCCGCAGCGCGGCGCGCAGGGATCCGTTAGGCCTCGGAGGGATCCCGGTTCGATTCCCGGTCAGGGCACGGTCCCGGGGTGCGGGCTCCACCCCCAGCGGGGGGCGTGCAGGAGGCAGCCCGTCCTGGTTCTCTCTCATCATGGATGTTCTCTCTCTCTCTCTCAATATATATTCTTTTTAAAAATAAAAAGTAGCCGAAACCAGTTTGGCTCAGTGGATAGAAGGATCTGAAGGGTCCCGGGTTCGATTCTGGTCAAGGGCATGTACCTTGGTTGCGGGCACATCCCCAGTAGGGGGTGTGCAGGAGGCAGCTGGTCGATGATTCTCTCTCGACCATGTTTCTGACTCTCTCTCCCTCTCCCTTCCTCTCTGTAAAAACTCAATAAAATATTTTTTTAAAAAAAATAAAAAGTAGAGCTGCCCTCCGGACTCGGGTCCCTGCAGTCCGGGATGCGGCCGGACACGTGAGCCGGACTGACCCTTGGCGTCCCCTGCCCGGCCTCCCGGCCAGGCGCCCGGCCCCGCGGGCTCCACAGCCAGCGGCCACCGGCGGGCTGGGCGCCGCTCCAGACGCGTCTGTCTCCCGTGACGCGCGGGGAGCGGGTGCCAGCGGGGTCCTCGGAGCGCGTCCCTCCTGGCAGGCCTCCCGTGGACTCCGCGCTCCGCGCCCTCCTGGCAGGCCTCCGGTGCGCTCCTGTCCGCCTGGGCAGGGCTGATAGCGCCGGAGGCTGCCTCCGCCGCCCCCGCCTGCTCTGGGGAGACGGATGCGCACCTGCTTGGGGGGGGGGGGCAAGCGGGCCTGGCGGGGAGCCACCTGGTCCCCAGGCAGTTGCGCAGCGCCTCCTAGCGGCCAGCGCTGCGATGCGCAAAGAACAGACCTGAGCCCAGGGACCCGCTCTGGAGCAGGAGGAGGCGGGGATGTGAGGGGAACGCGGGTTGGAAGGCACTGAGGTGGGGAGCGCAGGGTCTGTTCCCGAGGGGCCCGGGGATGGACTGGAGAGGAGGGAGAGCCGCCTCGGGGGGGAGGGACGTGGAGGAGGGGAGACGGGGGGTGTGTGGTTAGGAGCCGGCTCGGGGCGCACAGAGCCGGGCTGGGGCAGCAGACCCCCCCCACCCCCCCGAGCCTCACAGACACCAGGTGCGCCCGGCTGCCCGGCTCCGTGGGGAGCCGCGGCCTCTGAACCCGGAGGTCCCGGTTCGATCCCGGTCAGGGCGCAGGTGCTGCCCCAGGGGGCGTGTCCTTCCTCCCAGATCCTGTCCCGGGAGGCGGGGGGGGGGGGGCAGAGGGGGAGGCAGGCGCCTCCAGCCCCCCTCACGCCCTCCCTGTCCCCCGTGTCCCCCCCCCCCCGCCAGGAGCAGCAGCGCCGCGTTCCGCGAGGTGGCGCAGCTGAGCCTGGAGGTGGCCCGAGGCCTGTCGGGCCCGCAGCCCGTGGCCTGGCAGCTGGAGTACCCGGGCGCCGGCGCGGCGGGCAGCGCCCTGTCCCAGATCTTCGTCAGCCCGCGGGACCTGGCGGGCATCGTGCCGCTGGCCACGGTAAGGCGCGCACGCGTGGGTGGGCCGGTGGGCGGGCGGGCAGGGGTGTGGCCGCTGGCCTCCCGGGGCGGCTGGAGACTCACAGGCCCAAGGGTCACGGCCTGCCTGGAGGGGCGCCCTGTCCCGTCCAGCCTTCCCTGGCGGTGCTCCGGGGAGAACAGGCCCGGCTCGGCCTGCGGGGACCCCCACGCCCCCCAGCGGGCAGGCAGAGACCAGGCGGCCAGCGCGGCCAGGCCTGGGGTGCTGCCTGAAGAGGCGGAAACTGGTTAGTTCTGTGTCTCAGGGTCTCTCTCCAGAGTTTATCGTTAAAATGTATTGGTATTGGCTTCAGGGAGGGAGAGGGAGAGAAGCATCCGTGATGAGAGAGAGTCACGGACCGGCTGCCTCCTGCACGCCCCCCACTGGGGATGGAGCCCGCCACCCAGGCCTGTGCCCTGACCGGGATCGAACCCTGACCTCCTGGTTCCTAGGTCGATGCTCAGCCCTGAGCCACGCCAGTTCGGTTCTGGTTTTAACGGTGATGGAGCCTGACCGGAGGGGAGAAGCCCTGAGGCTGGCGGGGGGCCAAAGGCTTGCGTTCATCCGGGAGGCCAGCAGGGGGCAGCAGGGAGCCCGGCTGGTGACCCCGCTGTCTGGGGAGAGGGGTGCCGCCTGGCCCACAACCTGGGCGCCCAGCCATCTCATTACTCAGACCGGCGTTGGCTGGTCCGGACCGGAGGCCATTTTGCATTCTTCCGTCTCGGTTTTACAAGGAGAAGCGGCCCGGGGAGCGGCAGGCCCCCCTGATGGCATGTAAGTCAGTAATTAACGGGCCGCCAGCGGCACGCATGGCGGGTGCGCGCTCCCCGCTGCCTCCGGTGACCCCTGTCATTTTCTTCAGATTTTTCTTCTTCTCCCTTTTCCCCCTCCTGTTGGGCATGAGCCAACGCGCCTCCTCCTGACCGGCCTGCGCTTCAGTCCCGTTTTAAATTCTCTCGGCGTCCGGATGAGATTCGATGTCTGAGCCGCGTCTCCGTGGCTCCGAGCCAGGACGCGCCAGAGGCATTTATTTAAATCCGGGATGTTAGCGGCCTCGCGATGCTCAGCGGCGCGGCGCTGGGAAATGCCAATTAAAGGGCGTGGAGCCCGGCCGGCAGGGCTCAGGGGCTGAGCGGCGACCTAGAAACCAGGAGGTCAGGGTTCGAGTCCCCGTCAGGGCACAGGCCTGCAGGCTCCATCCCCAGCAGGGGGCGTGCAGGGGGCAGCTGACCCATGATTCTCTCTCACACCCATGTTTCTCCCTCCACCCCCCCACCTCTCTCCCTTCCTCTCTCTCTAAAATCAGTGGGGGAAATGTTCTCAGGGGAGGGGGAAAGGAAACCTTGCTGATACAGCCAAGCACGGTGCTGAAGGCGGCTGGCCTTCCAGAGAGAACTTGCAGGAAGGATCCGTTTATGGAATTTATTCAAAGGCAAACCGGTGGCGCGGAGGTCATCCGGGCGCGGGCCTGGCCCCGGGCGGGAGCAGAACTGAGCCTCGCGAGGGAACCAGCCCGTGAGAACGGTTGCCTTGCACCACGGGGCTGTGTTCCCCCAAAGGCGCCCCGGACCGGCCAGGGTGTCGGGGGCGGGGCTGAGACTGGGGTGGATTCAAAGAAATCAGTCCTATTTCCCCCCCCCCCCCCCCCCCCCGCGCGGGGCGGTGGCGCATCGCCCGTCTCCGCCACGAGGGGGCAGCGTCCTCCATCCCTTCGGTGGCAGACGGTGCATTTTACTCTGTAATTTTGCCCGCGGAGGATTCCTAGGGGTTTCGGGTGGGTCTGGGGAGGCCGTGATGAAGGACAGCGTGAACCCCGTGCCAGCAGCTAGCGTGGAATTCATCGGCGCCGGAAGTGGGAAGTCTCCGGCCTTCATTCCTTAGCATCTCCCATGCCCCATGCCCCGTGCCCGGACCTAACCTCAGCGCCCGCTCCACTCCCGGCGGACCATCGGAATCCCAAATCCCGGTGGCCACACTCCCCTTTGCCCGCATTACCCAGAATTCATTCCTGGGCCCACAATCCCCAACGCCCCTGGATAAAAGCTGAGTGTGGCCGCAACCGGTTTGGCTCAGTGGATAGAGCGTCGGCCTGCGGACTCAAGGGTCCCGGGTTCGATTCCAGTCAAGGGCATGGACCTTGGTTGCGGGCACATCCCCGGGGGGTGGGGGGGGTGCAGGAGACAGTTGATGGATGTTTCTCTCTCATCGATGTTTCTGACTCTCTATCCCTCTCCCTTCCTCTCTGTACAAAATCAATAAAAATAAAAAATAAAAAAGCTGGGTGGGGACCAAGCAATGCCACCCCTTCCTCCCGGAAGTGAGTGCAGATGCCCTCTGAGGCCGTGGCAGTGCTGCCAGGACCCTGTTTCCCGGGAACACAACTGTCACCGCTCCCGCCGCCCTGCGGCCTGCACGTCTCCGCCTTCCCGGCGGGCGAGGCTGCAGAACAAATACGATAAAGGACGTGTCTCCGGGACCCGGTGCCCCTGCTCGGCGCCCTCCCGGCGGGGGCTGCTGGGTAATGGCCCCGCCGCCGCCTCCGCGCGCGGGGAATTGCTTTCTTTGTCTTAAATGAGCGCCGCCGCTCGGCATCTCCATCCTGCATTAGCGGCAAATTGACGGGTAAGTGAGCCGGGCTCCCAAGCCCCCGATGGCGCTGCGAGCGAATTGGAAGTAAATGAGGTGGGAGCCGGGAGGATGGGCCCGGCCGGAGCCGCAGAGCTGAGCGCGGGGGGTCCTCGGGGAGGGGGCGTGGGGGCCTCAGGATGGATCCGGCTAAATGGTGGACGGGCGGCGGGAACGGCCCGCAGGGAAGTGGGGGTTGAGGCTGGATTGTAACTTCCTGTGAGCGAGGCGCTGAGCGGGGTCCTGGGCGGTGGACACCCACGGGCCTGGCCCTCCCAAGGTCACCTCGGCCAGACCCTCGACCTTGGCGGTCTGGCCGGCCCAGCACCCCCGCAGAGACCCGCGGAAGAGCAGCATGAAAAAGTAATTGCTTCGCTGGAAAGCCATGTCCTTGTAAGAACTATGTCATCCCCGTGCATTTATTTAAAATAAAAATAAAAATAAAAATAAGCCCGCAAAGAAACCAGGAGGTCAGGGTTCGATTCCCGGTCGGGGCACAGGCCGCGGGTGCTGGCTCCATCTCCCGTGGGGGTCATGCAGGAGGCAGCTGATCCCTCATTCTCTCCCATCATGGGTGTTTCTATCTCTCCCTCCCTCTCTGGCATCAATAAAATATATATTTAAAAATAAAATAAAATAAAGAGAAGGGGCATTTGGACACAGAAAAGGATGAATCTGCCAGCAGGGACACCAGGGAGGTCCCCGTCCACCCCCTCCCCCCCAGCCAGAGGCGGCGAGGGGAGCCGTGTCCTGCGGGTTCGGGGTTCCGGAGGGAGACAGCCGCCCACACCGCACGTCCCGCTCCAGCCCCAGCGCACAGCGGGGATAACCCTCCGCGCTGAGCCGGTGTGTGAGGTTCACGGCAGCCGCAGTGGAGGAGGGAGAGGCGGGAGCATCCGTGACGGTGATGACGGCTCTGACCTGCGGGAGCCGCCGTGATGCGGCGGCTGCTGCGTCCCATCAGGACGCTGCCCGCCGGCGGCTCCCCGCGGCCCCTCCTCACGCACTGCTCACCGGGCGAGCTTCTGGGAGGCTCTGCGGAGAGCCGGCCCCCGGGGAGCCGGGCCGGGGCGGCTCAGTGGACAGAGCCTCGGCCTGCGGACTGAGGGTCCCGGGTTCGATTCCCCGTCAGGGCACGGGCCCGGGTTTCGGACTTGACCCCCGGTAGGGGGCGTGCAGGAGACAGCACTCCGGGGCTGGAGGAAGGTGGTCTGAGGCCGCTGCCGGGACCCTGGCGCAGGCGGCTGGCTGGGGAGTGCGATCCTGCGACACGGGGCTCTCCGTGTCCAGCGTGGCTCCCCGTGTCCGGCGTGGCTCCCCGTGGCTCTCCGTGTCCGGCGTGGCTCCCCGTGTCCGGCGTGGCTCTCCGTGTCCAGCGTGGCTCCCCGTGTCCAGCGTGGCTCCCCGTGTCCGGCGTGGCTCCCAGTGTCCGGCGTGGCTCCCCGTGTCCGGCGTGGCTCCCCGTGTCCGGCGTGGCTCCCCGTGTCCGGCGTGGCTCCCAGTGTCCGGCGTGGCTCTCCGGCAGCAGTTCTCAGCGTCCTCCGGGTCATAGCCGGTGCCCAGGCTTCCCTCCTGTTCGTGGCTGCAACATTCCACCGCGGGCGCCCAATGCCTTTCCATCCGTCTCTTCTCCTGAGAAGCCGAGGGTGGTCATGCCCACTCCCGGTCTGACATCTTTGTGGTCCCTCCGCCTGCCTCGGTGTCTCAGGCTCGGGATGTAAGCCTGCTCTTTAAAAAATATATATATTTTATTGATTTTTTATAGAGAGGAATTGAGAGAGCTAGAAAAATCGATGAGAGAGAAACATCGATCAGCTGCCTCCTGCAAGCCCCCCACTGGGGATGTGCCCGCCACCAAGGTCCATGCCCCTGACCGGAATCGAACCCGGGACCCTTCCGACCGCAGGCCGTCGCTCCATCCACTGAGCCACACCGGTTTCGGCTCAGCCCGCTCTTTATCCGGTTAAAGACGCGTCTGTGCGACCACAGAAGACGCACAGCCGGTTTGCATGTCGGAGGGAGAATCCAATAACAAGGCTGTTTGCTCAGAGCCTCGGGCTCCGTGCAAATTGGAAACGACGGTGATTGAAAGGCCCGGCTCCCACGGACTCTCTCCGGCGGAGCACGGCGCCCCCTGGGGGTCGTGGGAGGGGGAGGCGCCGCAGGAGCGGAGAGAAGCCGCTTAGTCACCAGGGAGCCCCCTGAGCGGGTCCTCGGGTGTCTGGGCTCCGGCTCAGAGGCCGCAGGGAGCAGGGGCCGGGCGCCTCCTGCAGCGCCCCCTGCAGGTCAGGACGGGGTGTTCGTGCCCTGCCTGCCCCGCACCCGGCTTCCTCCGATCCGGCTGGGGCCCGGCCCAAAGCCAATGCAACCCCATACCTTTAAAGTGCGCTGGGCCCGGCCGGTGTGGCTCAGGGGCTGAGCGCCGACCTAGGAACCAGGAGTCAGGGTTCGATTCCCGGTCAGGGCCCAGGCCCGGGCTGCGGGCTCCCTCCCCCATGGAGGGCGTGCAGGAGGCAGCCGGTCCATGTGTTACTCTCTGTCTCTCCCTCTCCCTTCCCCTCGCTCTAAAAACCAACGGGGAAATGTCCTCAGGTGAGGATTTTTAAAAATAATAAATATTTTCAGAAATATCCCCAGGTCCCTCCAGGCCCTCTCTGAGGGCGAGACGCCTTCTGCAGGAGCCACAGCTCCTCCGCCTCCCCCCTTCCCCCTCTGCCCCCCTTTCCCCCCTCTGCTCCCCTCTGCCCCCCTTTCCCCCCTCTGCCCCCCTCCTTCCCCCTCTGCCCCCCTCTGCCCCCCTCCTTCCCCCCTTTCCCCTCTCTGCCCCCCTTTACCCCTCTGCCCCCCCTTCCCCCCTTTACCCCCTTTCCCCCCTCTGCCCCCCTCTGCCCCCTCTCCCCCATGGGCACCGGCTGCTCCAGGTCTGAGCGCGGCGAACAGCGCTGCCGCGAACCGGTGCCCCTCGGTGCCCGGAGAGCTCGCGGTTCTACGCTCTTGGGCGTCTGTCCCCCGGACGGCGCTGCCCCGCTCCGGAGGGGGGAGAAGGGGGCCCCGCCCCCCACAGCCCCGGACCTGGCGTCTGTCCCCCGGACGGCGCTGCCCCGCTCCGGGGGGGGGGGGTAGGGGGCCGCCCCCGCAGCCCCGGACCTGGCGTCTGTCCCCAGGACACGGAGCTGCTGAACACGGCTGTGCTCACGGGGCAGCCGGTCGCCCTGCCCGTCCGGGTCGTGTCCGTGGAGGAGAGCGGCGCCATCACCGACGTCTCCGAGGCCGTGGAGTGCCGGGCCGCCGACCGGGCCGTCCTCAGGGTGAGGCTCTGGGGGGCGGTCCGCCCCGGGCGTCCCGGCCTGCGAGGGAGGGAGGGGGGGAGGGGGGAGGGAGGGAGGGGGGGAAGCATTGATGAGAGAGAAGAGAGAGAGGCCGAAACCGGTTTGGCTCAATGGATAGAGCGTCGGCTTGGGGCCTGAAAGGTCCCGGGTTCGATTCCGGTCAAGGGCATGTGCCTTGGTTGCGGGCATATCCCCAGTAGGGGGTGTGCAAGAGGCGGCTGATCGATGACTCTCTCATCGATGTTTCTAACTCTATCTCTCTCCCTTCCTCTCTGTACAAAATCAATAAAATATATATTTTAAAAAAAGAGAGAGAGAAGAGAGAGAAAGAAAGAAACACTGATAGAGAGAGAGAGAGAGAGAAACATTGATGAGAGAGAAGCATTGATGAGAGAAAGAAAAAGAGAAGCATTGACGAGAGAGAGAGAGAGAGAGAGACATTGATGAGAGAGGGGGGAGAGAGAGAAGCATTGATGAGAATCATTGATGTGAAAGACACAGCCATCGGTTGCCTACACACGCCCTGGCTGTGACCTGGGATGGAACCTGCAACTGGTCCATGCCCTTGATGGGGAATCGAACCCGTGACCCTCCAGTGCGTGGGCCGGCTCTGACCGCTGAGCCACACTGGCCAGGGTTCACGTGTGTTGGACGTGGAGCACGCCACCGCGGCGGCCCGGCGGGGGCCCTGGACCGCATGTGGCGAGGGGCGGCCGTGCGGGTCGGCAAAGGGCTGACCGCTGGGCCGGCTCTGCCCCCTCGGCCCCCGGGGGCTGCTCGGTGCCGCCCTGGGCGCCGGGGGATCTGGGGAGCGCTCCTGCCCTCTGCGCGCCCACGCCCACAGCCCACCCCCGCGTCCCCTGAACTACAGGCCGGGGCCGGGGGCGGGGGGGACATCGCCCGCGGAGGACCCTGCCCGGCCGGCTGCACACACACACACACACACACACACACACACACACACACCCGTCCCGGGGAAGCCCGGGTGCGGGACCTGCGCCCAGCCCCGCCCCCACCTGCTCTCCGCCAGCCGCTGCGGTCGCCTTGACAACACGCCGCCCCGGGGGATGCTGGGACCGTTTCTGGCCACTTAGTTCTCCATCGAGGCCGCGGGTGGTTTGTTATCGGGAGGAATCAGCGCCCGTGGGCTCGGCCGTGTGTGTGTGTGTGTGTGTGTGTGTGTGTGTGTGTAGGGGGGGTCCCCCCGCAACCCCTGCAGCCTGCGCCCTGAGGGAGCTCCGGCCAGCTGCTGGCCGCTGGCTCCTGACCCCTGGCCCCTGACCCCTGACCGCTGGCCCCTGGCCCCTGGCCCCTGACCGCTGGCCCCTGACCCCTGGCCCCTGGCTCCTGACCCCTGGCCCCTGGCCCCTGGCCCCTGACCCCTGACCGGCGGGGTGTACGCTCTGCACAGTTTGTCAGCAAAACTGAAAGCAAAGAGGAAGGTGACAGAATCCACCGGGGAGGCCCACGGGGCAAAGCAGACGCGAGGCAGCCGGCTGGGGGGGTGGGGTGGGGGCTGGATGGGGCGTCTCAGGGGCTGGATGGCTGCCCATCGCTCCAGCCCCACCCCCAGCCCCCAGGCCCCGGGCTGGCCTCTGCACCGGCAGGACCGGGCAGGGAACTCGGATCCGAGAGTTCAGGCGTCCGGCCGGTAACAAGCCCGAGTGCCAGGTCCCCAGTGCCGGGAAGGCACCGGCCGTGTACAAACACCGTGCACTGCCGCCCAC